GAGGAAGAGTTCGCTGAACACTAGATAAGACTGAATCATCACATGTCTACCCAGCGCAGCCGCTGCGGCAAGACGATCCGTCGCCCCAAATACAGCGTCGGCTGAACTAAAGGCTCACTGTTCCTATACTTCAAGGGGTCGGTGTATACCCGCAGCTGCGGCAGTAAAGCTGATGCCGGCTCCGCAGAGCGGAGCTGGGACAAAGTCCAAGCATTTCTTGACACGGCCGTCTCGACCACCACCGACATTGCAAGATGCGCACTTGCAGACATGTGGTGTTCTGATTGTGGACTGGCCTGGAAGTGCCAAGAATCAGTACAACCCTTCTGAATCTCATCATAGCGAGATGCATTCATAGTCGGCACCTGACCCTTGCACATAAGAGGGAGGTTGTTGTCGTAGCCCGGCACCAGCTGCAAGCTGCGGGACCCTTCCCCGCGCCGCCTTGTTCGGCATGGGCAGGAAACGCCTGCGGCAGGGCCGAAATCGGAACAACTCTGCGTCAGTGCGGAGCCCGCCCAGGCTCCCGCGCCGCGCCGCCCCCATCGCGCCCCCGCCCCACCTGCGGGGGCAGGGAGGGCCGGGGCCCTGGAATGAAAAAATAAAAAAACAGGGAGCCGCGCCATTCAGCCTCGCCCTCAAGAGGAATTGCACTAAGCAGAAACAACTGAAATAAACACTGCCAGCAACCTCCCCAGCATTCCAAGCCCCACCTCCAAGGCGAGCGGCGCTGGCACGACCAAAAGCACACCTACCCCGAGGACGCGCAATGAGGGATACAACCAATGACGATCCACGTGCCGTTCTACGCAAGTCCAAGGGCGGCAGAAGTATGCGCGCACAAGAGAGGCGGACAACAGTCGAGCTCCACAGCGGACGACGCTCGACACTATGAAGGCAGCAGGCCTTGCTCCCAAAAAGATCAAAAGTGAAGAACAGGCCTCATTGACGCTTTCAATACATGCCTAAGCTAGTGAAAGTGGTGCAGGAGGGCATGCCTCAGGAGAAGCGGCTGTCTGCGCCCCTCTGGCCAGCAACGATGCCATGCAAAGCAAAGGGGGGAAGACGACGACGGCGACGAGGACGACGAGAAGGGAGACACACCTTACTGGCCAGACACGCCGGAAGCGAGCCCACTGAGGGCCAGGTGACCTTCGGTGGAGCTCCCGCTGGGGCCACGAAACGTTGTACTGGAAGGGGGAGACGCATGCGAACTGCGCAACTGGGACCTTCGGTGGAGCTCCCTGGGGGGCCACGAAACGTTGTACTGGGTCGGGGAGACGCATGCGAACTGCGCCACTGGGGTCTTCGGTGGAGCTCCCTAGGGGGCCACGTGGGGGGGGACGCATGCGAACTGCGCCACTGGAACCTTCGGTGGAGCTCCCTGCGTGGCCCTGGAGCGCTGTACTGGGTGGGGGGGACGCATGCGAACTGCGCCACTGGGGCCCTCAGTGGAATCCCCTATGGGGCCACGAAACGCTCTACTGGGCGGGGGAGACGTATGCGAACTGCGCCACTGGAACCGTCGGTGGAGCTCCTTCTGGGGCCACGAAGTGCTGTACTTGGTGGGGGAGACGCATGCGAACTGCGCCACTGGGATTTTAGGTGGAGCTCCCTATGGGGGCACGAAGCGCAGCGCTGGGTAACGATGATGACGACAACAACGAGAACGTGTGGAGGGCAGAAGCAAGGACGGGAGGAGGGAGGCGGGGGCAGCGGGAGGAGGAGTGAGAATGCGGAGCACGGTCTCTTGAAAACGAGGACCCAACACCACAGGATGGTTGGGGAATATAGGCAAGTGAAACACAAACAGACAAGCAAAAAGAAAGCAACGAAACTATTCCAACAACCCATAATGTATAAAGAGAGACCACCCACGATTAAATTTAACATATGAACCACCAATATCAATGTACTTGGAGAACTATGAACAACAAAAAATGCCGACCGTAAGGAGACGACAGATATTGTGTATATATATATATATGTACTCACATGTGTGCTAGAACTACGCGCGCGCTTCCGAACGCGCTTAGGTTCTAGTCGCAGCTGCGCTACGTTTTACGGCTCTCGCTTTCGCTCGCCTGATCTGCGACATTGCGAAGTCCTCTGCATGTGGGCATCGGAATATCCATCCGCCTCGGCCCCCTCCCCCTCCCCCTCCCTCATCATCGTCCACTTCCTCCTCCTCGTCCTCCTCCTCCTCCTCTTCCTCTCCCCATGCTCCTGATCCTGCTCCTGGTATCCCTCCCCATTCCCTCCTCCTCCTCCTCCTCCCATTCATCTCACCGCGGCTCCGCGAGTCACATCCCACCACCCCGCCGATCGATGCCCGCCATCAAGGATGGTCGGTCGGATGTATGGATATGTTGCGGAACTGCGTCCATGCACCTACTTCGCGCTGGCCTCGGCAACACCGTCGATCTCGCCAAGTCTCCACCGCGAGGCTCCGCCCCACCAAAAAAGGCGGCGTGCTGCCCTAATCACGGGCCAAGTGGCTGGAGAGTACTTGTGGTCTGCCAAATTCCCTGTCACAGGGTGTGCCCAATTCCCTGTCACAGCGGGTGACCAATTCCCTGTCTCAGGGGGTCAAATTCCCTGACACAGGGGGGCCCAAACGTATCACAAGAACAACTCGCGCTGTCTAAAGAAAAACTGTCGCAAGAACAGCTCTCGTATCATACCAACCACTCCCTCGCATCACAAGAACGACTCGTCCTTGTCATACGAACAACTCGCATAATCGCAAGAACAAACAACTTTTGGCGCGCCGCTGTGCGTGCGCACGCACGGGGACGCACGGGGACATGCTAATACTAGATATGCCCTCCCCGGAGGCGCACGCCCGACCCGAACAGATGGTATACCCATCTTGTAGTATGTCAGGGCTGTACCTAAACGCTGTTGTTCGTTTTGGTTTAGTTTTGTTGTTCGTTTTGCCCTACCTGTTGTCCTGTACGTCCCTGCCCAAAACAAAGAAAATAAACAAACAGACAAACAAACAAAAACAAAACAAAACAAAACAAAAAAACATAAGTTTCTTTTCTTGGCTCAGCATTCCACGGACAAAATGGATTCAGACTTCGCCGCAGAGCTCGGCCGGCGCACGCAGCTCGAGCGCGGCGGACGAATCTTCCAGCTGTGCTGGACGAGCTGCTTACAGTGGAGGCCAGTCCACAAGAAGCCTTCCACAGGAAACCCAACCCTGAGACCCCAGGACGTCCATGGATTGTTGGTGTGGGAACGTCACTCTTTCCATCGCAATAACCATCGAAACCCAAGAAGCCCAGGGCACCCTGGAGGCAAGCAGGGTGTCTCTTGGCATGGGTCTCCACTGTAGACCAGCTCCCCCTCCCCCCCAAGCCGGCGCATAACCTCAGTGCAGGCAGACATTCACCGTGGGTTCACGGCTGCAGTGCACAATAGTTACAGTTCCTAGCACAGAAGTCTGCTTCGGCCTCCGCCTGCTCTGCGACGTCATGGAGGTTCGAGGGAGGTGGGGGGAGAGGCAGGCAGGAGGGAGGTTCGCACGTCACGCCTGTCTGGTGGGCACTTCTAGATTCGACACCACGTGCCAGGTAATTCCCTGCCCTCCTGTGTGCCAGGTCCTCGTCTTGGAATCACATCCGCGCGTGTCTCCTCACTCCTCTATTCCTTATTTCCTTCCTTCCTTCCTTCCTTCCTTCCTTCCTTCCTTCCTTCCTTCCTTCCTTCCTCCGCCCTTTCAACCTTCCTGTGGCCCCAGCGGCAGGGTCCGCATGGCGCCACCCCGCCCCAGTTCGGCACACCACTCGCACGCTGCGTCGCCCCATTTGGGAGCTCCACCGAGGGCCCCAGTGGCAGGACTCGCATGGCGCCTCGGGCCCATCTCGGCTCACCACTCACACACTTCGTAGGGCTACTGTGTCCTTGTGTATTCAGCGGTCCTGCTCGCAGCAGCCTCGTGTTTAGAAAGGATGAGGCTCTTCGCCAGGCTGATTTGTCACCCATGTCTGCCCTCGATTCCTTCGGTACTAAGTTTGAAATTTCGAGTGAGCCCACGTACTTAGCGGGCATGTTGGACCGACGGACGCTGTCGAGTCTAGCCCTCCCCCAGCTGGCACACTCAGATTCGTGCTTGCGAAGACGGCCAGACCAAACCCTCCTCCCTCCTCCCTCCTTCTTCCTCCCTCTGCTCCCTCCCACCCTCCCTGCCTCCCTCCCTTCCTCCCTCCCCTCCCTTCCCCCCTCCCCCCTTCCGTCCGCCTCCTCACCCTCCTCGTTATAAACCATTTTCCCTCTCCTGCTCAGTCCCCCTTGCCTCTCTGGAGGCCTCCGGCGCACGAAGAGCAGCAGCAGGGGCAGGAGGAGATCAAGGAGCGGGACGAAGGAAGGCTGGAGCAACCTCGATCAAGGACCGGGTGAGCGAAGCGAGAGCCACTGGAGGGGGGGCAAAAACGGGAGCCTTACTTCAAGGCCCAAAGCTAGACGCAGCGGGGTCGCGCTAGAGAGGCCAGCCGGCTGCATCTTCAGGCGCTTAAGACAATTCGCTACTCGAGGAGGATGCCATCTGGTGACACTTAAAGGACAGCCTGGCCAAGCCGATCCCAGCTGGGATCAGTGCAGGGCAGTTGTCGCCTCCCGACATGTTGCAGGGCGGGTGAACAACGCTGCGGGGCGATAACAAAAAAATCGCTGCTGCGTGGTCATTGCACGGCGGGGGCGCCGCCGCGCAGGGGCCGCGCAGGAGCGAAAGGCGGGGAGAGGGGGGCAGGGGAGGGGAGGGCGAGGGGGAAGGCGAGGGGAGGGGCAGGCGAGGGTGGAGGGGGAGGCGAGGGGAGAAGGCGAGGGAGGTGGGGCGAGGCGAGGGCGAGGGCGAGGGCGAGGGCGAGGGGCAGGCGAGAAGGCGAGTGGGGAGGCAAGGCGCGGGCACGCGCGAGCCGGCGCGGCGGGGGGGCAGCAGAGCAGGCGGGCGGCCACCAGGCGCGCGCCGCGGTGCCGCGCCATGGCGGCGCGAGCCCCTAAGAGGGGCCGCGCGGTGGCGCAGAGGCGCCAGCGAGCACGGGCCCCTGCGCCCCGTCGCGCGGCGCAGCCTCCCAGGCGTGCAGCGCCTCCGACGGGCTCCGCGAGGCGCCGCTCGGGCTCCTCCCCTGGGCCGTCTGCGGCCGTTGTCGTCGTCGCCGTCGTCGTCGTCGCCGTCGCCGTCGCCGTCGCCGTCGCCGTCGCAGTCGTCGTCGTCGCCGTCGTCGCCGTCGCCGTCGTCGTCGTCGTCGGCGCCCTCGCCGCCCTCCCCCCGAGATGGCCTGGCCCTGCCTCGGCCCGCGGAAGTGCCGAGGGCACGGCCGCTCGTGGGGGGGGCGACCGCCCGGCGCGGGGAGAGCGCCCCTCGCCCCCCCCCCACCCGAGCCCGACGGAGCCAGGAAGAGGACAAATGCGGACGAGGATACATCGAGAATCTCTTCCTCCTCCTCCTCCTCCTCCTCCTCCTCCTCCTCCTCCTCCTCCTCCTCCTCCTCCTCCTCCTCCTCCTCTTCAACCATCAGATGAAGCCAGGACAAAAATAGAATCGGGTTAGGATAAATCGAGAATCTTTGAGAGCCTTCCCCGAGCGTGCCAGAGCGCTCTGAGAGAGCGCTCTGGCACGCTCTGGAACGGATGTGTCCTTGTCCCAGCCCTGTCCGATCGAGTCCGACCTGCGAGCGGCCACCTCCTCGGGGGCGAGGCACGCGGCCACCGAGCCGCAGGAGCACGTGGGCGAGGAGGCGCGGCGCCGGCACGCGCAGACGTCTGCAGGTGCTCCGGGACCCGCGATCTGTCGAACCTCCGATGGGCTCCTGCTGCGATGGCGGTGGGCTGTTCTCCGAGGCGGTGGCACTCCGCGTTGCACTCCAGCGTGCCAGTGGCGAGCACGCCAGCGCGAACCGAATAGGGCCCCCCACCCCCTTTCTAACCCCCACCCACCCCTCTTCACGCGCCCTCAAAGCCCCTCAACCCCCGCTCCAACGCCCCAGCCCACCCCAACATCCCCCCTCCACCCCTTTCCCGTCCTCTCAATCCTTCCGCAGCTCCCGAGGGGCCCCACGAGGGCCACGAAGACTCCAAAGAGGTCCCAAGAGAGCCCCACGGGCGGCCTACATGACAAGGCCTCGAAGAAGCTTCCAGAGATCTCCAAGCTAAATAATGTTGGCAGGGTGCTCGGGCTGCCCGTAGATCGGGTTTGTCTGGTGTCCCCCTGTCTGTTTCAGTGACGCTCCTCCACTTCATTTCTCGCAACAGCTCGCCTACGAATCGGTCCTGGATGTTATGGTGGGGATGCGCGTGGCGTCAAGGAGTCCGGCCTCGAAGTGTATCATCATCAGCATCATCATCAACACGATCATCATCGTCAGCGTCATCATCATCATCATCATCATCATCATCATCATCATCATCATCATCATCATCATCATCATCATCATCATCATCATCATCATCATCATCATCATCATCATCATCATAATCCCACCAGCCCTTTGGGCGTGAGTGGTTTAGAGAGCCCCCTCTGTCCTCAACCCCCCAACCCCCCTTCTTCCCCTTCGGGGAGGGGTTTACCCCTCCCCCTACCCCCTCCCCCTGGGCCTGGACAGGGAGTCCCGCGGGTGGTCAGGGGGGTCTTTTTCGACGCCTGGGAGGGCCAAAAAACGATTATGCTACCGAGGAACCCCACATACTGTTTTTATATTCTTGTGTTTGTATACCAAACACTTGCGCACTCCCTTGAGGCGCCGAGAAAGTGTCACGCCTGCCACGTTTTCCGACCCCGGGGCGGATAGCGCTCCGCCGTGCTCCTCTCGACCCCTCCTCCTCCTCCTCCTCCTCCTCCTCCTCCTCCTCCTCCTCCTCCTCCTCCTCCTCCTCCTCCTCCCAAGTCCTCCGCACATGCTTGCTCAATTCTTAAAATTTTCAGGTCGAAACCATCATCGTATCAAACCCTCCGCACTCCTCTCACATCCTCCTCCGCACAACTCCTCCGCACTCCTCTCAACTCCTCCTCCTCCCCCTCCTCCTCCTCCTCTTCCTCCTCCTCCTCCTCCTCCTCCTCCTGCTCCTCCTCTTCCTCCTCTTCCTCCTCCTCATCCTCCTCCTCCTCCTCCTCCTCCTCCTCCTCCTTCTCCTCCTCCTCCCTCTCGTCCTCCTCCTCCTCCTCCTCCGCTCCTCCTCGGCAACTGCATGGCTTTCAATACTCAATGCCCGTCCCATGTTCTGCTCCCAGGATGTACCAAGATCGCTTCAATATGGCCCACATACCCCACGAGATTGCCCAAGACGGCCCCAAGAGAGCCCCAGAAGGTGGCCCCGGGAGGCCACAAGATGGTCCACGAAAGCCCCAAAACTGCCCCGTCATAGCCACGATATGGCTTAGCCCAGGAAGCCGGCAGCAGAGGGCGCAGCCCTTCAGGTACTGCAAGTGATGCCATGAGGGACCCTGGTCGTTCATAATCACATTCACAAGAGACAAGCGCTTAGCCCAAGCATATGCTTCCTGTGGGGAGATTTCGTCTTTCCCCCAGTCAAAATCCGACAGCAAGCCCTGCTTACCTCCAGCGCTTCGCGTACAATTTACCTACAATATGCTGCTGTCTGCATACTCGTGAAATATGTTCAAGTCAACCCTCGCAAGAGCAACTCGTTCCGGGGTCTTGGCGCCGCTCATCAAAAGCCACCCGTTTCGGAGTCTCGGCGCCGCTTTGCGATACGCTGCACTGGTACCCTCCAGCTCGTTTGGCCTCTGCCCGAACTGAATGACCACTGCAAAACCGAATGCTAGACACAGCAGCAGAGCATCTACCAGAGCTACATGACAAGAAAGAAACGTCAGCGAAAATTCTCGTGATGACAAGTGCACCAGCGTGGTCATGCGAGGCTTGCTTCTGCGAGTGAAAGCACTGCGGGAGCTTTGCGGCCCCTTTCACCCATAGAGAGAGAGGGCGACAGGGAGAGAGAGAGAGAGAGAGAGAGAGAGAGAGAGAAAGAGAGAGGGATATGGAGACTCACACACACACAAACACACACGAGAAGCCGTCGCGATGGCACAGTCTCCTGTCAACGAGATCATGAGCATCCCGGCCACATTGACTTTGCCTGCCTGGGCCGCCACTTGCGCTTCGGGGGACACCTGGCACAGGATCTGGTCCTCCACGGCCACGCCAGCCCCCGAGCCAAACACTTCGTCGCGCAGGTCCTGAGCGTTGTCCAGGCACCCCAGGAGAAAGGTCAAGCACTCCGCGGCGTCCTGCTGCGTTCCCCCAGGGAACTTACTGAGGTAGAGGAAGTAGCTGACAAGTATCCCCAGCAGAGGCACGGTATCCAAGCACGTGCTGTCCGGGTCCGCCTCAGAAGTGCGATTTGGTAGAATGTATGGCTGTTTTGCGTTCCCTAGACAGAATGCCTCCTGACTTTCGCTTTAGATCGGCCTCCTCCTCCTCCTCTGCCAACCAAAGCAATCCCGGCGGCCGATCAACCGGCGACGAGATCATCGAGAGCCGCCTGCAAAGCTGGGCAAGCAGCGAGGGCGGTCACCGAGGGCCGTTTCCCAATGGGGAGGCGAGGGGCCGACCGAGAGCCATTCCCAGTGGATCTAGGGGCGAGGGGATCACCGAGGGCCGTTCGAAGAGGAGCAAGGGGCGAGAGGTCACCGAGAGCTATTCTCCAAAGTGGGACAGGAAACGAGGAAGTCAACAACGGATGGACCGGCGCTGCATCTAGGCAAGCGCCGTCCTTGTCGCCCGTAGAGATGTGCAAGGATGCAAGTTGCCTGGCTCGCGTCTGGCCAAGAGGGAGCGGCCGACTCGCCCTTTGACAGAGAGCCTCTGGGCATTGCGAGCAGAGGAGCCTTTCGATGGAAAATCTCCAGGCGCACGCCAGATCGCTCGGTAGACAGATCCGTGGATCTGCGCCAGAGCGGATCGAGATCAGAGATCGTCTGAGGCCAGGGCATACGAAAGGACGTAGCGCCTCAGGCACTGACCAAGCGGCATCATATCAGCATCGCCGCGGCGAAGAATCTCCAGCCTGGCAGACGCACGCACAACGTGCTCTCGACGCAACAATGTCCCGTGAATCTGGGGCAAGGGGACCGAATGTCTTTTCCCAAACATGTCGCCACCAAGCGACTGAGGTCGCTGGCGTGGTAACAGAAAACTTGACCTGAGAGCTCAGCGGTAACCCAGGGCCGTTTCTCAAAACGCAGTGCGATGTTTCATGGGACTCGTAGCGTCAGAGCAACTGTGCGGAACGACGCGCTCGTTCGGATTGAAACATCCCGACGCCTCCAAGGCTTGCAGTGGATCAGGGCCTGCACCACGGCGTTGAGGTAGCACGTATTGCCGAAGTTGGGCATGCACACGGACGTCAGGTAGAGGTTCGACAGGTCGTCTGTAACGCCGGCAAAGAAATCGAATATTCTCTCCTTTGCGAACGAAAACGAATCCGCGTGGGCGAGGCTCATGCGTCTGAAGTCCGTCCAAGCAGCGAGCACCTGTGTGATGCGCTTGGCCCTGACCGGGTCGGGGCGCGGGTCCTCCTGGTCAACTGGGTAGAGGAACTTCACCGCCCCCAGCCGCTCTGCCAGGGCAGCCTGCCGCGAGGGGCGCGCTGGGCCTTCCACATCACGCAGAGAGTCGATGCCATGATGCTCCGCGGCGGTTCGAAAGGTCCAACGCCAGGGGGCGACGTCGCTGACCTCCCCGTAGAACTTGGCGCTAGCTACGCCGAGCACGTCAGGCTGCAATGCGAACAGACGAAGGGTAGGAACATCCATTATGTAGGGCGCATCGTTGGTAGCGTATCTATTAAGCGCCTTCCACAAGTCGGCATCGCCGCCCCTCCTCGACGGCAAGTACCCCGGATCAGAAGCTCGCTTGGCCGCGAATGCCTCGTACCATTTCACTGCTTTCGCATCCGCTTTCGTCGAGAGATTCTCGAGCTGAACTGATTCTCGCAGGCCTTGCGACCAGGGTACTTCTGCCCAACGGCGGTCCGTCTGAGCCGGCTCAGGGGACAGCTGAATGCGAGGGGTGCCTGTGGAACGAACAGAGGTAGCAAGCAGAACTGCTGGGGAACGCTGAGGCGTGAAGGCCTGCATGGGCGTGGACTTGATGGGCGCG